GCAGCAGCAGGAAGCTCACCTCAAAAGCTTCCTTGATGTAGGCCGCGTTTGTCGTGTGCATGCGAAGGGCTTTCTTCTGGGGTGTACATACACCGCAAACGACCCCACAACCCGTGCAGCAGCAGCAGCAGCAGCAGCAGCAGCAACAGCAGCAGCAACAATAGTTGCAGCAACAGAGGCAGCAGCACCGCCGAAAGCAGCACCATCAGCAGCAGCAGAAATAACAACAGCAGCAACAATAGTAGCAGCAGCGACAGTAGCAGCAGCAGCGAAAACGGCGTGAGTAGCTGCAGCAAAAGCAACGGCAGCAGCAGCAGCAACGGCAGCAGCAGCAGCAGCACCTGCAGACTCTTCAGAGAAGCCGAAACAGCTTCAAGCTCTTGCGCCTGCTGCTTCAACTTGGTGTATTGTTCCATCATCTGCGGCTCCACCAATTAAGCACAAAACCTATGGTTTAGGGTTTAGGGTTTAGGGTTTAGGGTTTAGGGTTTGGGGTTTAGGGCTGCATTTGGGGTCCGTGGAAAGCGGGTTTGGAGCGTTTCAAAGACGAAAGCGCGGTGGCCAGGGCCTAGTGTTTAGGGTTTAGGGTTTGGAGCCTAGGGCTTAGGGCTTAGGGTTTAGGGTTTAGGGTTTAGGGTTTAGGGTTTGGGACCTTTTGCCGCGCAGCAGGCACTGCTGTGCGAATCAATACGAAGTTGTGGGAGGCGTGTTGGCCTTCGGAGCGGCAGCTCTCGCAAAAGAGAAGACAACTAAAAAAAAAAATAAATAAATAAATAAATAAATGAATAAATAAATAACAAAAAGAATTAGATTAATTAAATTAATTGAATCTAATTAATTAATTAAATTGAGTAGAAAGGAGTCAAAGGGGAATTAAAAAAGGTAACGAAAAAACGAAAAATGAAAAAATGAAAAAATGAAAAAATGATTTAAAGAATTAATTGAAGGAATTTAGATAATTAAACAGAAATAAAAAGAAATAAAAGGAAATAAAAAGAATTAAAAGAATTAAAAGAATTACAGAAAAATAAAAATAAATTAAAAGAATTAAAAAGAATTAAAAAGAAGTACTCAAATAAAGAAACAAGAACGTGTAGAACGGCCTGCAGAAACCGCCGCCCCTCCCTAAACCCTAAACCCTAAACCCTAAACCCTAAACCCTGAACCCTAAACCCTAAACCCTAAACCCTAGCCCCACCCGCAGTCCACGCAAGCGTATTTGGCGGGCTCATTTTCGTGGCGCTGGCAGTGGATTCCCCTGTGAGCAGTACAAAAGCCCTAAACCCTAAACCCTAAACCCTAAACCCTAAACCCTAGAGCCTAAAACCCGCGTCTGCTGCGGAAAGCACAGCTGCTGGCTGCGCGCGTCTGGGCGTCGCCTCGGCCGCTTGTCAAGGGTCTAGGGTTTAGGGTTTAGGGTTTAGGGCTTAGGGTTTAGGGTTTGGGAAAACCTTGCAGCGGGGACTTTGACGTCGAGGGCGAAGCTGTCTTGCTGCTGCTGCTTCCTGAGGGGAGTGCTGAGGTGTACGTCCACCTCAAGGGCTCTTGCTGCTGTCCCCACTTTGTGGGGCCCCACACTTTCCCCGCAGTGCAGCGCAGCAGCACAAGGCCCACACAAGTATTTGCTGCAGCTGCTGCAGTACAGGGGCCCCACAGCCACCCAGCAGCGCATGCACGTCCTGCTGCTGCCCCCAGGGGCCCCTGCACACGCCAGCAGCAGCAGCGGCAGCAGCAGCAGCAGCAGCGGCAGCAGCAGCGGCAGCAGCAGCAGCAGCAGCGGCGGCAGCAGCAGCAGACATAAGAAACACTCTTTAATCGGACAGGCAGCAGCGAGCCATGCAGTGTAAAGAGGCACCCACGCAGCAGCAGCAGCAGCAGCTGCTGCTGCTGCTGCTGCTGCAGTTCTCTTTTTTCCCCCTCTCCGCCCTTCCCTCCCTCTAAGCCTTTATCTCTTCTGTCGAATTTTCTATTTTTCTCTTTTTATTTTTTTGTTTTTTATTTTTTTATTTTTAATTTTTAATTTTAATTTTTTGATCTTTTAATATTTTGTAATGCCTTTTTTGTCTTTTGTGTCTTCTTCATTTAATTCTTTTTCTTTTAAATTCAATTGTTCTTCTTAATTTAATTTAATTTAATTCTTTCACTAATTTATTTTAATTAATTCATCTTAATTAATTACCTGGTAGCAGCAAATCAGTGTCTTCTGGCCGCAGCAGCAAAGCTTGATTTCTTTTGCTGCTGCTGCGGACATTCTCGCTGTCTTTTGCTGCTGCTGCCAGCAGCGCAGCAGCTTCCTGCAGCGGCCGCAGGGGCCTCACCCTGGGGGCCCCCCGGGGGCCCCCC